AAGGGTGGGTAAATAGTAGGAGAATCTTGTTGTGTGCGCGCACGGGCGATGTGTTTGCACGCGAGCAAGCGAATATTAAGTTTCCCCCTCCTCTCTCGGTATAAGAGGATACTAATACGCAACTATATAGCGAAGGGAACACACACATATACACATATACATATATGCAAAGAGGTGCCGGCAAATACGGTGGTTTATGCAGAAGGTGCGGAAGAAACAGTGGTTGCCAACTAACTTTTCATTTTGAGACTTTCTCTCCTACATTTGTGCACTGAAAAAAATGTACTAAACCCCAAAAAATTATTTATTTAAATACTTGCAGAGCAATTAGTTATTTTAATTAAGCAGCAAATATATTTGAACCAGTAAAATATAAAAAGCAAAGTATGCTTTTATATGCAAATAAAAAAAGAATTTGTTTTTTATTTTTATTATACTAAATTATCTCCTTTAAAAAAATATTTTTTAATTTTTGTCTTTGTTTCAAAAACACAGGTTTTCTTTATTTTAATAAATAATTTTTTATCTTCAAATAAGTATTTTTTTATATTAAAATTTTAAATAATATATTTAAAAAATTATAATTTTTATATTGCATGCAACTTATAATTTATTTAATATAACAATGTTTTTGAAAACAAAATATATAATATAAGTAAAACAAATCAAAATTAACAAAATGTATTTATCTGATTGAAAAGAATTTTATTTTTAGTGTATGTAAATTCGTGTATACTCGTGATTGATATGCACTTTGAACGATCTGTTTGCAGTTGCGAATATGCTCGGCAATTTCAGCATCGCCCTCACTTACGACCTGTTCATTACTCTTGGATTAATCACAGCTGTACCTGTGTCCGCTGGTACGTGTAAAACAATCAACTAGTTATTTTAAAATATTACGCACTCACGTAAATTAATTAAATTTAATTAAACGTCCCACGCTTTTAATTAATTTTTTAAAATTTACTAGATACATTAATTGATAATAATAAGAACGTCGTCAATTCTTTAACATTTTTTTTGTTTGTATTGGCCTTTTTTGATCCTTTGAATATTTTTGAATAAATTGAGCCTTTTAAATTAAATTAATTTAAATAATTTTAAATTATAAAAGAAAAAAGGGTAAACCTGGATATTAGCGCCGACCTCATCGATTTCATTGACATATGTTGTCAAGGACATGGCTCTGAATAACTTGCAAAAAATTTTAGTCGTCGCTCGTTGTTTATTACAAAGTTATTAACAATTGAAGATTTTGACCGACCGATGCTTGCAATATAAGACTGCATATATTTCGCAGCCAACACACTCTACACAAGAATTGTGGGATAGACCTCGCTTCATGTTGTAAAGTATATGCGTGGACGCAGTGGATTCCCCGGGTTAGGTTATATCTTTCGGAAGTGGAGCCCCCCCCCGTAGGGGGGAGGGGGGAACCCACCGTGTCCATGCATATACTTTTCCATCCACACAAGAATTGTGGGGTGGACTTCGCTTCGCGTTGTAAAGTATATGTGTGGACGCCTCCATGGGTTCCGCCCCCCCCCTCCTATGGGAGGGCTCCACTTCCAGAAGATAACCTAACCCAAACCTATCCTGATTTAAAATTAAAATTTGGTTTAAACCTAAAGCTCCTCCCCCGCCCATGCAATTACTTAAATATACAATTAATAAGTTATACAACTAAATACTTAAATATATAACGCTCATGCATGGAGAAGTTCAGATTATCGCATTTAATACGTGTTCTTATTATATAATTTATTAATTGTTAATAACTTTGTAATAAACAATGAGCGACGGCTAAAATATTTTGTAAGTTACTCAGAGCCATATCCTTGACAACATATGTCAAGGTTATTGAAATCGGTGAGATCGGCGTTAATATCTAGGTTTACCGAAAAAAGAAACGAAAGAAATGAGCTTGAAAATAAAAATATTCTCTATTTGCATAAATTTTGGATACAAAATTAATAGAATTATATTTATCCTTTATTTTTGATTCACATACTATTATCTTACTAATTTTCATATATAATTGATGCAGCACTGGACGTTATTTTCTACGGGGCGTACTTTATGGGTATGAAATTGGCAGGCATGATCTTCATAGCGGTCGGTTTCTTCCTCGTGATGTTCCCGGATAATTGGCCCGATTACATAACGAGGCTCCTTCGGTACGTTTTCTTAACTTGTATTCCAGATATAATGCGGTTCTGTGGTATGCACTTTTAATTCGGATTTTATTTATTTTCTCTTTTAGTCCTTATAGTTCTTTTAGAGAGTTCTCTATCCTACTTTTGTCTATTTCTCTTTCTCTTTCTTTTTTTCTCTCTCTCTCTCTCTCCCCCTCTCTCTCTCTCTCTCTCTCTTTCTCTATATCTTTTCTTTAATCTTGCAACGATACGGACTGTCGTTTTTACCTTACTTGGCACCAGAATAGAGGCAGCGCGTAGTCTCACTCAAGTAGAGTGCTTGACATATATACATATATATATATACATTTATATCATTTACGCTGCCTTAATTCTTTCAATTTTCTGAAAGCGTACAAAATATATTTTATACAAATTGCTTTTGTAAAATGACACAGAACGCGTTTTCTAAAAAAAACTTTATATACACCCGTTTTTATGCAACGTATTATATATAATTTCAACAAAAAGAAATCTCCCTTTCGTCGCAAAAAAAAAACATTGCCTGATGAAACGCGCAAACACGTGAAGAATTTTTTTTGCAATTCACCATTATATCACTTGCGATCGTTTTTTCGTTTGACAGATCCTGTACGGTTTCGATTTTGAACCTTGTGTTTTGAAGCGCAAACTCTTCGAATTTATTTTGCGTCTCATCCAGCCACTTTGCAGCTTTGCAGCTAATCCATATGCGATAACATACCAGGTTTCATAGACGAAGTATTTTTTTTTCGCTGCGTAGATATATCAGCCGAGCGATTATGCCAAGCATATTGCGATTTTCTTTCGCATTTAGATGAGGCAACTCTCGTGCACACTCTCGTTACGCTTAAACAGAAATTAAAGACCAGAGCACTGATATTATTTTACAGGATACCTGGAATATATATATGCGACAGGTTTAAAGTATATAATTAAATGAGCATATTTTATATAGCGCAGCGCACACACATACACGAGTGATAATGTAATCGCGGGGTAAAAAGTCAAATACTTGGCTTTCGCTTAAAAATATCAATGACATATTTAGATACAGCGTGAAATATTAATCTACGTGTGAGCCGAACTACTTTTTCTCTAGTTCTTCTCCTATTTAATATTTTCTAAGCTTCAAGAACAGCGTGTATCTGAAATAAGTCTCTTGCATTTGCCATTTTTTAAATATTATTTTGCAAACAACACAGAGGGTTTTAAAAAAAAGTTTTACAAAATTTTATTTTTCAAAGTTTTATTTTTCATATATTGTTTTCACACTTAAAGACTTAAATCCATTAAAAAATTTATTTGGAAGTGTTGGAATTTATTTATAAAATGACACGTCAAATTTTTCAATTTTTTAATCTTTATACATTCGTCATAATTTATCTCTAAATATTGGTTTTTTTATTCTTGCTAAAAAAATCGTACAAAAATGGTTGCTATTCATGAAACTTGTTCGTCAAATTTTTAACGTACATTATTCGGTTCTTAGAACTCGAATTGTTTAGGTAAAAAAAAAATGGGAAAATAAATGATTAAATCGCTTAAGCTGCTTGTTGTCTGTGAAATCAATGTCGACACTTCATCACTCGCTTCCCAACAATCAGGATCCATTATATGCTGTTACAGAAACGTAGTCCTCATGAGTCACAGTACAAGGTAAGAAAATACATCTCATACGTCTTGCTCTAGTCCTACCGAAAATTCATCCTCTTTCTCAATAACTGAACACTGCTTATTCATAAGCATTGTAAAATTGCAAAGCAAGCTTTTCGGATAATCTCACATGTAAGAGAAATAGCATGGTCCAAAAGTCCGAAATATTCGATAAATGTGAAGATGTATCACTTTTATAATAATACGGCACTTAAAATATGCAGTAGATATATATTTCAATATTTTTTTTTTAAACGATTATATGACACACAAACTGGCAAGAAGATTATTTCTTCGAAAATAAATTGTAGTCGTAATTTTTCGCTCTACTATATCGGATAAACTGTCACATTTAGCTAAGCAATAAAGAGCAAGAATTATCTTTTCTCGATGAATTTTCCGTAAAAGAGCGATATAAGTGTCAATTGGCGCATGATTTATAATTTAAATTTTTCTCGATTTTTTCCATTTTGCATGCACACGTGTGAACTTGGCTTACTTTTCACCGGCTTGCTTTTTTCTCTTAAGGCAAAACGGCATGCCTCTTCTTCACGCTTCTTTTTCTCCCGATATCATTCGCTTCTTTTGGTCATTCAATTAACTTTGAAGCATTCGATGTTTCTGTATGCCAGCGATCATTCTTATTCATCCAAAATCTTTTAATTCAATATTGGATCGATGATAAAACACATGCTAGATTCATGATTTAATTCCGTCATTGTCTCTTCGAAAATCTTGAGAGATTGCTTAGCATCTTGGAAAGGTATATCTATTTTTTTCCTCAACACATAATTTAATCATGTTTTTGTCTGTTCGCCCCAGTGTCCCGCCTGATTAATTAGTGACCCGGCCGTCATAAAAATTCTGCGACATTTGTACTGTAACTTTGTATTTAATTCAAAATTAATTACATAATTTTATCGTATTTAAGAATTTATAATATAAATTTCTTCATAAATTTGTGAAGATAAAAAAAGAACGATGGAAACCGCTAAAAATAGGATCATTTACATTTTTTCTTATGTATAATTATATTTTTGGAGTAACAAATATTTTTTTTAGATATTTTTCTTATTACAAAATTATATAAAAGACTTCTATGATAAAATAGTTAGATTTTATATTATACAATTCTGTAAATTATCCTTTTCGTTTTACAAAAAAACAAGAAAAACTAAACAAAAAATAGCTTTTTTCGAACATACGAAAAAGAGTACTTGCTTTCCGCAGCTTTTTTTATGACACTGAATACGATTTTGGGTTTTAAATTATCCCATCACGTCAAAAATTGGTAATTAAAGTTGCAAGAAAGGGCTATTTTAATGTGTTTCATATTCTATAGTATGTGACGCGTTAGAGTTTTGTTATAATTAAAGTTGCGCACGTGTTATTAGGATTTGCAGTCTTCAAGAGGAATTTATTGTGTTGATTACAATTAATAGGATACTTATGGTTAAATATGATTTACTATGAAAAAATTGCGAGTATTAGATTATTGAAGATTTACCGAGCAATTTTCAATTATATTTAAAATTTATTTAGAACGTAACGATTTTTTAATGTCAAAATTAAATTCAAAATATATACATAAATTTTTACATATATGTATGTATATATAAATTTTTGCAAAAATCCAAAACAAATTTTTTAAATTTTGATATCTATTATTTTAAATTTATTAATTTTTTGACATCAGATTCATGTTTTTAAAAACCTATAAGTTTGAATAAACGTAATTGAAAATTAGTTGATAAATCTTCAATAATCTAATTTGCAACTTTTCCGTAATAGACTTTGTATTTAACCATAAATATTTTATGAATTATAATCGACGCAATAAATCTCTTTAAAAGATTAAAAGTTGTAGATAACATAATTAACTTTAATTGTAACAAAACTTCTTCAACAAAATTTCTTTGTATATCATAGTTATAATATAATAAAACAAACTAAAAGTCTTTTCTTGCAATTTTAATCGTAAATTTTTCAAAATTGTGACGTAATGGAGCAAATTGGAAGCCGAAATCGTCTATATTTAATATTAAAGAACCACAGGAATTGATTTTTTGTGTTTTTTTTTTTGTTTTATCGAACTGTATAATTTATACCGTGATCAATGACTTGGTGAAACATTTAATGGCAAGTCTCCGAATTTCTACGACGGAATATCCGTGCCCTCCACCTCGACCTCCGCCCCGATCGCCGAGATTTAACGTGAGCACGAGAAATGTAGCTCTCGAGTAAGAGACGGTATTGCTGATGAATCCGCGACCAGTTTCTCCCAATTACACTAAAAAAAAAGACCAACGAGACACACCACGCTACGAGACATACCGTCGAGAAAGGAGTCACCCCCAACAGGTGTTGTCTATCCCCGCGCGGAGATAATCGAGAGATTCGATTGATGAGAGTCTCGGGCTTGATGTATATATATGCAGTACCAGCCCGGGGGGCAGCCAGCGGCAGAGCGGCAGGACTTTCCTTAGGGGTCGCGCGGCTTCTCTTCAGCAACGTCAGCAACGTCTGAGGAGTTACGGCGTGATCGCTGCTCATGGAGACGGCCAGACGCTGCTGCCGATCAGTAACAACAACAACAATAACAACACCGGTAGCGGTAGCAGTCAACGTCACGTTAACAACTCCCAACAGTACAGCTCGATCTCCGAAATCCAATCACGCCGTGTCCCTCCTTCCACCTCGACCTCTACAACCACCACCACCACCGTCGTCAGCAACAGCTACTTACACGATCCTCATAATCAGCAACACCAAGGTATGAGAACTATCAGGCTGGTGGCGCGAAAACCACGCACGACGTGGTAAGAATGACACACATCAGGTGGGAGAGATCAGGTGCGGGAACATCAAGGTCGGATCGAGCGCGTGATAGTTGGCTGGCGACTGAAGTAGCATCGTGTATAGCGTCTTGTTGTTCTATGTCGCTCGGGATATGTATGAGAAAAGTGCTGGGTAATTAAGCAGGAATTTGCTAGAGCGAAGGCGCTGAATATTTAGTTGCGTAATGTCATTATATTGCTCTAATTATTTCTAAGCTAGACGGCTAAATGATTGATTGCAATGTAGCGTAAAGGTGTTGATAGCGAATATATACAGGATATATTCTACGCGCATTTTTCATAAAAAGAAAATCCTTCTTCTTTCTTCATAATGTTTAATAAGAAGGTGGTAAATTAAAATTCTGTTAATTTAATTAAAATTGAAAAATAAAGCTCTACCATCTTCATCATTTGTAATTTGAGGAGTATCGCAAAATTTATATATTTTTTTAACAAGATAAGATTTAATTGATCGAAACCTTTGATTGAGAAAGATGCCAATTGTCGTGAGATATCCTGAATATGAAAGCACGATGAAGAATGTCTGTCTGTAAAACTTCAAATCTTTCTCTCTCCCTTTTTCTTCGCATTTACTTGTTCGTAGTGATTCGTTTAGTTATTTTGTCTCGTATGAATGTCTCAATAAGTAAATTTTACTTTTATTATATATAT